GCGGGCATTTGGCGCGGGCAAATGGGGGGGGGAGGTTACTTACTGCTGGTTAGTAGGGAAAAAAGGAATCTAGTATATAGGGGCTTAGGGGTTATATAGAGGTTATTCCCTTATTCCCTACTAACCACCAGTAAGTTTGGACACAAAACTCCAGAGCCCAGGTGAATCGGCCGGCTCCGCTGACACCACGGACACCTTGGTGACGTCTTCGCACATCAAGGCCCAAGGGAAATGCGGGGGTTTCCCCAGAATAGGGGGACCATTTTAGGGGTCCCCATAATAAGGATTATAGTATATTGGGGTCTATATTGGGGTCCCCCTATTTTGAGAAACTACCATGTAGGGGTTCTACAGAGATAATGTAACAGAAAGAAATGTAGAGGTTCTGAGATAATGTAAGAGAAAATGGAAGCTACTAAGCACAAGGCATTTTGGCCTGGTAGGCCCCGCCTGCTTCAAGGGCTCAACATTAGGCATTCGCGGTTCTACTTGGAGGGTCCGGGGGACTTAGCAAGTAGGTTAGTAACCCAAATAGCTCGTATAGCAACCCTAGTCATCCCCATTGTAAGTCCCCCTGACCCTTCAACCCTAAACCCTAAACCCTACCCTGAATGATATAGTAGTATCGATCTTCTTTTCCATGATTAGCCTACTTGCTAAGTCCCCTGACCCTCCAGGTAGAGGTTTTGTAGTTTCCATGTTCTTTTCCATTATCCCTATATAAACCCTATATAGCCCTAATATAACCCCATATAACCCCAATAAATCTATAAACCCTAAACCCTGAGGTTTCGGCATTTTGGGCTCGTGGTTTGAAATCTTGTGTTTGGCAGCTCAGGCTGCGTCTGCTGAGCAAAGACTAGGGTTTAGGGTTAGGTGGACCCCCCACCCAGTAATAGTGACTATAGGGGATAATAGGAATTATGTCAGGATCCTCTTATATACCTATTACTATTACAGGGTGGGGGGTCCTCCTAAGGTTTAGGGTTTAGGGTTCAGATTGTGGGTGTTTGAGGATCTTACCCCAGCTTGGGGATACATAGGAATCATGTGGATCATATAGAATTTGGGGATCTTACACCAGTAATGGATAATCAAGTGGAGGAGAAAATGCTAAATATGATGGAAACTAGGTGTATATATCTGGCTTCTAGAATCTACATGGCCAAGCGCGCAGAGGTCCCAAGAATCCAAGTTGTGGTCAGTTGCTGAGGTCCATGTTTAAAAAAGAGGTCATAAAGAAGATCATTGCGTTTGCTCTGTCTCCACCCGAACAACTTAACTGGAGCCATTTGAAGGCTTTGCGCAGGGCATAGATGAATTCTTACAAGGCTGATCCCAATTCATCACCATGGTGACTGAGCAACAGGAAGAAGACGTTGTAGGGATCGACGTCTCCAGATTTGAAGCTTCATGTACGGTTGACCTTCAGAAGTGCTGGGTTACCGTGGCTAGCTGGGAGGAAGTCTTCTTAGTATTGCTATCATTATTGTTATTATGAATACTATTATTGTTATTATGAATATTCAGCTTTGGCGCCCAGAAATTTTGTTGATTTCTCGCATGCACCCGATCTGCCAGAGCAGCTATGATGCAGCCGCAGTGAAGCAGTACAAAGAAGATGTGGTGATCCATTTCAAAAAGAGCAGGTTTGCTTTGGGGCCTCTGTGCCATTCTCATACCATTCTTTCAGAGCTTCAGCAGGTATACCATAAGAAAGCACCCCCAAAATCCCTTTGCTTGAGGTTGATTTGTTGAGCTAGCAGAGGAGGCCAAGAAAGGTGTGAACATGAGCGGGTTGCCGTGCATTAGGTGTCCCGTTTTGGAAGGAAGGATTTGAGCACGTTGGTGTCTATATTGAGCTGCACCCATTTATGGTGACTACCGCCACTTTGGGTTCCAAGCGTTCAACCCACGTTGCTAGTTTCGCCACGTCGTTCAGAGTGCCTCCGGGCTGTCCACCAACCGGACTAATCCAAACACCCATGTGGCTGCTACCTCAGCCCTTTCAACCCAAACTTCTCTTGGAACATGGTAACTGTGGAAGGGCTTGGTTGTTAAGTCCGAGTATACCTGAGATGTTGTAGGCAGGAGTAAAGCAACAACTGTGAGAAGTATTAATTTTCCCTGTGCGGCGAGGACAGTGAGCCGCAACTGCTGGAGCTTCCAAGCTGGCGGAGAGGCCGTGCCAGCGTTAATCTACAGATTTTTCATTGCTGCATAGATTAGCCCTAAGCTTTCTGCGTTCCAGAATCTTAAGCAACAGCCAAACTGAACCAGGATTCTCAGGAGAGTATGGGTTGCCCTGATCCTGAGCAGGTTTTCTAGCATGATATGGGGTGCCTGAGTTAGGTTCAGTGTTTGGAGAGAGTTTCATGGATTGGCAGAGCTATTGCTTTTTGGCACGTTGGCGCTTTCTAATTATCATCACATCTTGAGTTCTAGAGCTCCCAGAAGCCCTGGAGCTAGAACTATCTGGTTTTTGGCTTGTTATATGGGGCGTGGGATCACTGAGCTTGCCTCTTCCTGTCCTATCCAATTTACAGAACCTATGCAATACTCGACCCGCTAGTTTTGAGTGGGGAAGTCTGAGGCGTGTTCCTTCCAGGAGCTGCTTTTGCCTTGCAACGTGCCGCAAAACAAAGATGTGCTGTTCTTCCAGCGACGTCATAGCATCGAATTGTTTGGGGCTAAGTCGCGTCGCACGTACTTCCTGGTACAGAGCAAAAAAGGACACAAATTGTTCCTTGCACCTGCCGATTATAGATTTTCCAGGACAATAACAAGGACTTCGTCAGCTCGTCAGCAGTTTCAGTAGAGTCTCCTTCTGCAATTAAATCACTAACATGTGTTTAGCTAGGAATGAAGGAATGGATCCTTATAGCAGTCTCTATATAACACATTATATGGTAGTTTCCATTTTAATTTCCTTTCCTTCCTTCCCAGTTGGCCAAAGGCCAGATCATTCAGCTGCCCGGAAGGCCATCAGAATCAAGGGATCCGGGAGAAGACCTTGAATTCGCAAAGCCTTATTTTCCAGAAGAGTACATATATAAACTTCTGCAGCTTCAACTGTCGCGAACCCTTCAAGCCCAAACTGGGTTGCTGTTAAGGAACTTAAAGTAAGTTACCATAATATGGGCATACAGTAAGGATAAGAGTTTCCTCGTTATAGTAACTCAATTTATTCCTTGACAGCAACCAGTAAACAGAGCGCAGGGAGCGATGCAGACGACACAGACACCAAGATTTTTCAGGGGGCCTTGCCGGACACAGGCGGGCATTTAGCCTATTAGGACTTGCGGGATTGGGGGTTAAGGGTTTAAGGGGTTTGGATCTGGGCTGCTGTGAAGGAACTTAATAAGGATCTCCTTATTCTAGAGACTTAATTTAAGTTCCTTAAGGGGGTTATTCTAGAGACAATTTAAGTTGCTTAAGGGGTCCAGAGCTTCTGGTTCAGGACTTCAGGGCCTAGGACTTCAAGATTCGCTTTTGGACTCTCTTAACAAGTGCTGCCTTGTGCTTATACTTACTCGTACTGGCTGTTAGTAGGGTGATGCGGAAGTGTAATAATCCCTATGAAACCTATATACATGTATACATTTTCATTCATCTTTCATTAATCCCTAGAACCAACAAATAAGTTATAAGATGCAGGCTGTGGACTCTTCTTGTGAATCCTGCACCGCAGCAGCCGAACCATCGGGCTGCTGAATTCCAATAATGCCATCATGGTACTCACTTAGGAGCACTGGTCATTCCTCAAGCAGCAAGTACAGAACCGGAGATAAAACTCTTCGTCCAGGCAAGGATCCCATCAGGAAGCTTCTCCGTGTGTTAAACTGCGGTCTAGGTTTCAGGAACATGTCAGCCTCCACCATTTGCTGCGCTGTTGAGCCTGCTACTCCTGCAATGTTGAATGAAATCTCACGATAACCCCGTGTTTGAGCAGAACGAGGACAATCCCTTCATATTCCCTCTCGATCCCTAGGATCTGTTAGGGATCCGCTTCAACACCCCAACCCCAGCCGTAGCACGTTAATCCGGGCAGGGCGCATCTTGCGCGAGTCATTTATGCCAGTGCTACTTGGTAGAATGTTTGTGGGACAGGTGTTGGGGCTGGGGCTTCAAGTTCAGGATTGGGCGCTTTAGTTCTGTAGCGGTTTAGGGCTTCAGGGCTCTAGGCCTTTCAGAGTTTACTTTCTGCAGACTTTCACTGGTTTGTTCTGGGTTGAGGATTTCGGGATGAACTCAAGATCACCTCACACAGGTCATCACAGGGTCATCATGGATTCTGGTAATTAATTCTAGCTGTGACAGCGATATTGGAAAGCA